GGAACCCATTGAATGCCACGTCTTTGCAGTTCACCGAGTCAGAAATGAGCTCACTCCCTGCTCAGAGCATGCTCCGTCCTTTCCCTTGCCCTTTTCTCCTTACGCAAAATGGCGCCCAATTCAGCTCTAAGGGGGTGACTGGGCTATGAAATTCATTCTGTTCTTGCACTGCCTGAGATTTGCTGCTCTGTCTCTGCTCCTGGTCAAATCAAAGGGACCAGCAGGTCGGACAGTTCTTTGTCTGGGTTCACCTCCCAAGCTCCCAGTGAAAGTCCCTTCCCACCTGGTTGCTGGTGGAGTTCAGATCGCCGAGCTGGAATATCATTCACTGCAACACCACACTGCCATTCCCGCTGCTTTCCTGTGTCTGTTAGTCTCCAGGTACCCCCTGCTGTTGTTCTGTCCTTTTCTATTTCCTGAAATATGTCCTCTCTGCTTCATCCTGATTAAATGTTTCTCCGTCCGTTTAAACGTGTCCTTACCCTATTCCGCCATCTTGATTCTCCTCTAATGTTAGTCATTTTAAACACTAAATCAGCTTGTTTCATTCCTGAGAAGTTTTTACAGTGGCACCATAAAACTATAGGCTGCCTCCCCTTCCTTCTCCCTGCCACACAAGTTAGTGACCTTTAATTTTCATTTGAAATATCCCGTGTTGGTGGTCTTTCTTTGGGGACTTCTTCAGCAGGTGTAGTGAGAAATATCATGACCTGATAATTGAGTAAACTGGATGTGGATACCCCTTCATCTCAAACCTGGAGCAGGCATTGTGGTGTGGTGGGAAAGGCCCAGCTTTGCACACCTACATCCCATACTGGAGTGCTTAGGCTAGCTCAGGTCCTCACTTTACCCACTTTACTTCTGATCCAATTTCCTGCTAATGCACACCCTGGGAGGCAGCAAGTGATGTGTCAAGTACTTGATTCCCTGCCACCCATGTGGGAGACTCAGATTAAATTCCAGATTCCCGGCTTTGACCTGGCCCAGTGTTGACTGTTCCGGGCATTTGTGGAATGAATCAGTAGGTGAGAAGTCTTTTTTCTCTCCTTCTGTCTTCTTCTATCTTTGCATCACAAACTGTGCTTTTCGAATGGAAAAAATTAGAAAAGTATAATGTTGAGGCAGACACACTATTCCTGTTTCCTTGTACATTATCACTACTTGGAAGTAGTGTGGCCACTGGGCCCAGAGGCAGCGGCTAGTAATGCCTGGAAAACTCTAGAGGCCCATTATGGAGCTGGATACATCTTTGAAGGAGCCCAACAGTCGGAGGAAGGAGAGGCAAAGGTATTTATGTGAGTGAAGGAGTTTAAGTATTACGTGTGAGAAATAGTCCTGCTTCCCATTTTCCTGTAGAGGAGCTATCCCTCACTCTATAAAGCCCCAATACAATTAGAGGATCATAGATGCTGAAAGTGGACAGGGTTGTTATGAAGATGTAAACAAGATAAGCCTGAAACGTTGTTTGATGCTGGGTTGAAGGAAGCAAGTCAAGGCTCCCTTATGACTCCAGAAACAAAGGAAAACAGTGTTGCAAATTATTTGGATGCTCCTAAGCCTCAAAAAGCTTGAATGAAAGAGAGGCTAAATGGAGATGCTGGAGAAGGATTTAACAAACTTTCTGATGAATTCTCTAAATCTCATAAATTAAAAAGAATAGATCTGCCAAAAGAAGTTATTTATGAATATGAGCAAAATCAAAGTAAATGTCCTTCTAGATAATTTTTATATATCGAGTGATAATAAACTGGAGACCCTAACGTGGGAAAAGAAAGAAGAATCCTTATCAAATTTCACTTTTTCTGATGATTCTATAAAGCTTCTAAAAGATTTAGGGGTGATATTTCTCTTTCCTATTCAAGTTAAGGCCTTTATTCCTTATGTGAAGAACAAGATTTGACTATTTCAACAGAAACAAGAACAGGGAAAACAATCTCTTTTGCCATCTTGCCGTCCCCATGATTGAAAAGCTCCAAGGAATTCAACAGTTTTAAAAAGCCACTCACCAATGGAACTTATTTCATCTCCAGTGAGAACTGGCAAGTCAAGTAGCCAAAGACTTAAGAAATAGAACTAGAAAAATCCGTGTGTCGTGTTTTCAAAGTGGAATATCTTATCAAAGCTAGATTAATTGCGTTCAGCATGATATCAACATTGTGGTTAGAACACCTGGTCATAACAAAAACCATCTGCAGAGCCTGTTGGATCTTAGTACCTGACATGTTGTGTTTGACGAAGTGGATCGAATGTTCAATTTAGTTTTGCAGAGCAAGTTGAAAATTTTTCCATGAATGCTATACAACTGATTCTGAAGACAGTCCTCAGACTTTACTTTTTTCTGTAACTTGCCCACTGTGGTTATATAAAACTGCAATAAGCCAACAAACAAACAAACAAAAAGCATGAAATCCATATACAAGCAAGTTGATCTTGTGGGAAAAATGACTCAGCTACAACTGTGGGACTATATGGCCTTCTAAAGCTTTGGTTTCAGGGGCCAACAGTTATTGTAAGCATCTGGTTCACATAGTGAGTCTAGGGGGAGGACTGTTAATGATACCAAGAAGATTGGAACTGAAACAGCCATAAATCTGCACATAGAACAGAATGCTGTTTTAAGGGGTGTAGGTGGGGGGCGTTGCATAATCCCAGAGAGAAATTCCTCTGCAAGGCTTCAGAGAAGGTAAAGTTGCTCCTTCACCCCATGTGACTGCCCATGTTTTGTACATTCCTAAGGTTGCCCTGTTGATTCACAGTTATTCACAGGATGATGACACCTATGTGCCTAGGTAAAGTTGGCTGGGTAAGAATTTGCATAGGTATTTATGATTCTAGGGAAAGATGTCAACTAAGAAGACATATGGAACAAGAAGCAGGAGTTACTTTTGAATGTGTAGATGTTTCTTCTGCAGTGGACTTAGTTAAATTTAAAAGGATAGATGCTATCAGGCTTCTATTTCTTATGCTGCTGTTGATTTTTTCCAACCATCAGCTTGGAGACTGATAAAAAAGAAAGAGGCAGTGAGTGCATTCACTGCAGCCTCAGTCCACATTTATGGTGCTTGGAGCTTTAGACCTTAACCTTTGATCTGTGTGTGTGTCTGCTTATAATAAAAGAGGGAATTTATTAGAAGGATACAAAGGTTCTTAATGGATTCTAAAAGGGTCAATAGCTAAAACTACACATTTTTAAAGGATAGAGCATGCTGTCACAAAAACTTTGAATTCTTTTTCTGCGTAGTCATAGAGTATTGCAGAGGATAGTCCTTGCATCCTGCCTAAGGGGCTAGAATATGGACTCATTTCTGCTTGCTTTTTGATCCTGATAGCACTTTAGGCTGGACTGAAACTTATCAGACACTTGTGGGCAGATACTCATGAGCTCATTCTGATAAGGAGAGTGTCTGAGCCTGACTCCAGAAGCCCTGAAGATAAACAGAATGTCAGTTGTGCTGGGAAAAAACTTAACAGAAAGCTGGTTGTTACCAGGGTGCTACATTAATGTCACTTGGCACTTTGTCCCTTGATCATTTTTTTCCCCAGCATTTATGAAGATAAAAGCAAACCTGATTCACTATCTCCACCTCCCCCTCACTTGTGCTTCTCCCCATATACCTGTTTATTATTTCCTTCTGCATTCAGAAAACATGTTTTCTGTATGGCTTAAGGTGAAAGTTGAGACACAAATGCTAGTTAGTAAGCAAAACAAGCCGGGAACAAATGCAGTTAGTATCTTGAAATGCTGCATACAGCATCCCTTCTTCCCTTTCCTCTACCTCCAGGTGAAACTGGTTGACCTACTTCCCTTTCCTGTGTATGTTTTTGAGCCTCTGACCCCTTTACTCCTTCAGGGCTGCTCTTGAATATGAGTGTGAGTGCCAGGGAGTGGAGAAAGCAATGAGGAAAAAAGAATTTGATCAGCAAGATACAGGAGTGCTAAGTAGACTATTGAGATAAGATGGGCTAGACTACAATGGAAATGGAAACAGGAAACCAGCCTTCACTAACCCTTACAATTAAAGTCAGAATCATTGTTTTAGGATTGGAAGGGCCTACTGATCGGAAGATTACCTTTGATTTAAATGAAACATTGCTTTCTCTTTTTACTTTAGGAAACTCTTTTGGCTCACCCTCATCATTCATGCTCCTCATTCTTCTTGATCTGTCTCTCCTCTCTGTATATTCGCCTTTCCAATAAAAAAATAATAAAAATAAATCTTTAAAAAAAAAGAATAAATTATGATCAAGAAAGATTTAAGATCCAAGCAACTACAGATTCCTACTGTGTTAGAATAGGTACTCAATAAATGCATATGGGATTTATAGGAATCTCTTGATTTTCTTGGAATCCCAAAAAGTTTTCTCTTGCCCACAGTCTTTCAACTAGCCACTGGCAGAGCTTGTCCAGAACTCCATTTCTGCAATTCCCTAGCCAATCTATTTGCTTTCATAAGATATTGTTGACTAGGTTTCTTCCTTGTACTTTCAATACTTGGCAAAGAGTAGGTATGAAATGTTGAGCCCAATTTTATTTTTGTGAGGCTGGTGGCATTTATTGGATCTTTTAATGAGTGTCAGTCTAACAGTTGAAAGAATGTGAACTCTGGCATCAAACCTAGATCTGATTCTTAGCTTTGCTCATTAATAGTTAGACAAGTTTCTTCATCTTTTTGGTCTGCACTAACAATAGGCACTACCTAGTGTTGTTATAACAGGTAAATGAAACAAGGTTATAGAAAGTGCTTAGTTTAGCATGTGGCTAAAATCTGAGGCTTTGGTAAATATTGTGAGATGAATAAATGGTAGCTATTATTGTATTTGATCTCCCTCCCAGGTAGGTAACATACCTTTTAGAAGGGAAGTTAATTTACCTTTCAGATATGTCATATTCTTTAAATATGTATCCTTGTTGCCATGGTTACTGCTGTGTGGTGAATTTCTTTTTGTCTTAGAACATACCTGCTTCTGATACTAACAGCTTTTAACTTTTGAAATTTCAGATTGATCCACGGAGGACAGCTGTTAAACGGATTGGCAGGCCCCACTGTGATGAATGCCGCACCGTTCCTCTCCACAACGTGGTTTTCTGCAGATGAGCGAGCCACAGCCACTGCTATTGCTTCAATGCTCAGTTACCTTGGTGGAGCATGTGCATTTTTAGTTGGACCCCTTTTTGTCCCAGCTCCCAATGGAACCTCACCTCTTCTTGCTTCAGAGAACAGTAGGGCTCATATTAAAGATCGCATAGAGACTGTATTATATGCAGGTAATTTAAAGTGTTCTCTCTTCCTATTATACTTTATATTCTATCCTAACCATCTCCAGTCTACTTTTTTCTAGAAACACTTAGAAGTACTGAGACACACATGCACATGCACATGCGCACTCACACATAAAATATGTTTTCCTTGTCTCTTGGTTTAAAGGTGTCTATGTCATATCCCTTCCAGGAAGCTAAGTTTAAAATGTATTCTTTCTATTCTTCATGTGCACTTATGATTAAGTATTGCATAGCACATAATCTTGTTTCCTGAAGGATGCAGGCAAGTAAGCAGACACGGTAAAACATAGTGCTGGGTGCTATAACCAAAGACCTACAACTGCCTTGAGAGCTGATAGCAAGAGAATCTAACCCGGGTTTTAGAGGTAAAGTGGTACTTCCTGGGGAGGCCATGTCTTAAGTTAGAACCTGAGGGTTGAGAAAGAGCCAAACACTGGTACAGTCGACAGGATGAAGAATATACTGAAAAAAAGAGAGAACTATGGTGAAAACACCCAATAAAGGGCAAAGCCCAGTGCATGCTACACCTACAGGCACAGAGTGGTTTAGCAGTGGTGAGAAACGTGGTGAGGGAAGATAGAGTAGAGAGTGCCAGCCTTCCGTATAAGCCTCCCAGGCAAGGCTAGCAAGTTTGAGTTTCACATTATAGGAAAAGGCCACTGTGGAGATTTTACACAGGAGGATTATATGATGAAAACTGTGGCATAGAGGAAATAAAGCAGAGGCAACTGGCAGCTTATAAAGCATTTAATGCACTGTAACAATTTGTGCCTTTAAAAAAAAATCAAGAAATTTAATTAAGTACAGAATTACGGGTTTTAAACTTTATTGTGGTCATAGTACTCTTTTTATTGAAAACCTAAGTAATGGCTGTATCTTTTCAGTGACTGGATGTAGGTGCTATGGGCATGTATTAGCTCTCTGGCTCCTGGTTCCCATGTAGTCAGGCAAAGGCCCTAGCTCAGAGCTTCCCAGCTGCTTCTCCAGTGTCTTCCTATTTGCCAGTCTAACCTATCTGGAATATTACCCCTTGACATCTAAAGTCCATTAAAAATACTCTGCTCAAATTGCTGTCCTAAAAGGTTAAAACTCTTAAGTTAAATCATTCCAGACAAAGGATCCATTAGAAAAGTAAATTATAGATCGATATCTCTTGTGTATGTTGACTCAAAGTCCTGTACAAAATACTGGCAAACCAAACCTAGCAGCATATAAAAGGATGATATACCGTGGCCAAGGAGACTTGACTCTGGAAATGCAAGATTAACTTAACATCTGGAACTTGACATAGCATGTTGTATCAGTAGAGCAAAGGGGCAAGAAACTGGATCATCTTAATTGACGAAGAAATAGCATTTGACAAACCTAGCAAATACCCTTTCAAGTAGGAATTCATGAGCATTCTCTCAATGTAATAAAATTCACGTATGAAATGCCACAGATAATATCATATATTTATCAATCGTATTTGATGGTCGGAGACTGCAAGACCAAGATACCCATATCTATTTAACATTGTGCTACAGGTTCTAGCCTGCTCTGCTGTGCAGGAAGAAGAGAGAATAGGTATCCAGATTGGAAAGAAGGAAGTAAAAATAACTGTTGAAAACAGTGTGATTTTTGAATATATAAAATTCTCTGGAATCTGTTATAAACTGTTACATCTAAAAGGCAAGTTCAACAAGGCTTACAATACAAGATTAATATGTGGAAATTGCTTCTGTTTCTATTCAGTAGCAATGAGCAATTGAAACACAAAATTAGGAAGATGATTTAATTTACCATAGCATCAAAATGAATAAAAATTATAAGTAAATGAACAAAGAATAAAATGGAGTCTTCAGACAACAATATACTGCTGAAAGAAATTAAAGAAGACCTAAAACGTTTCATGATTATGTGTTAGAAATTTTAATATTTAGTATTGTGAAAATATTCCCAAGTTTTTTTGCACTGATACGGTTCTACTAAAACCCCAGCTGCTTTTATTGCAGAAATTGATAAACTGATTCATAAACGCAAAGGACAAGAAATCCTGTAGTTGGCTATACAAACCCAGCTTCTCTCATATCCTGAGTACCATACCTATTGGAGAGTCATTCTAGATCTTCTAAGATCTCTTTTATAGTAATATACTGGCTTTTATTATTGTTTCAGAGACATAGCAGCCACCCACTACTTTACTCTCCCAAATTCCTTCAGTGGCAGAGGCTGGGCCAGGATAGAGCTGGGCTTAGTCTGGCTATCCCATAGGAGAAGCAGGGACCCTACTGCTTGAGCCATCATCTGCTGCCTTTCACAGTACGTATTAGTAGGAACATGGAGTTAATAACAGAACCAAGACTCAGACTCAGGCAGTCCAGTATGGGCTGTACACATCCTAACTAGTATCTTAACCACTAGCACAAATATACACCCCATGTACTATTGTTGTAAGACTGATTTATTTATTTGAAAGGCAGAGTGACAGAGAAAGAGGGAGAAGGAGAGAGAGTGAGGACAGAGCTCTTCCATTTGCAGGTTCAATCCCTAAATGGCCACAGCATCCAGAGCTGGGCAAGGCCAAAGGCAGGAACTCCATCCTGGTCTCCCATGTTGGGGAGAGGGGGCTGGAGAACTGGACTATCTTCTAGGCACACTAGCAGGAAGCTGACTCAGATGCAGGGTACCAGGACTCCAATATGCATTCCAGTGTGGGATATCAGCATTGCCAGTAGCATCTTCACCAGCTACATTTCAACACTGCTACTACTGCCAACACCACTATTGGATTCTAAGGTGCTGATGCTCAGTGAATGTTTTGAGGATTCACTCTTTGTATGTTGCCTGGTTAACATTTATTTTCTTTTTCTTTCAGAATTTGGAGTTGTCTGCTTAATTTTTTCTGCAACACTAGCGTATTTCCCACCCCGACCACCACTCCCACCCAGTGTCGCTGCAGCCAGCCAGCGGCTGAGTTATCGGCGCAGCTTCTGTAGATTGTTAAGGTGAGGATACTTAGAGTTGTCGTATGATATGACCAGTACATTCAGTGTTGACCCACAGTTAAAAAAAAAAAAAAATCTAAGATAGTAACTTTTAGGAACCTGCCGATCTTGTAAATAAAGAATAAAATACTAACTTATATAGACTTTCTATCAGAAGTATATTGAAACCCCCCCAAAAAAACAAAACCTCTATCACTTTTACCTTATTCATATGCAACCTATATAGTTATTTATTTAATATTTTTAAAATAAGCTCTTATTTTCCTTACATAATTTTTTATTAAGGGCTCAAATGCCCCAGTATTGAATTAGATTCCTCGGATGCAGGAACCATCACTATCAATTATGGTTAATGGGCCTCTGAACTTAACCTTTTGAATTGTTTGCCAGTTGGGTATGGTGAGTTCTTATTGCTCCATTAACCACTCTCTTTAGTTGGTCCTTTTTCCCTTGTCTTCTCCTGTCACAGAAGTTTTTTGTAGTCGAAACCTGCCTAAATCCTGTAAAGTAAAATTGTCTAATGGGAATATAATTCTTTTTTTTTTAAGATTTATTTTATTTTTATTGCAAAGTCAGATATACAGAGAGGAGGAGAGACAGAGAGGAAGATCTTCCGTCTAATGATTCACTCCCCAAGTGAGCGCAACGGCCAGTGCTGCACCGGGTTTTTCCTTTTGTTATTATTATTCTTAAAAAATATATTTCTTTGGTGAGGGAGGCAAAAAAAAAGGGAGAGGAAAAGAGGGAGATCCTCCAACCGGTGATTCACTCCCCTCCTGACAGCAGCAGCTGCAGCTGAAGCAGGAGCCGTGCGTATGGGTGCAGGGCCCAAGGATTGGAACCACCCTCTGCCGCACTTCCCAGGACGTTGGCTGGAGCAGCTGGATAGGAAATGGAATAGCTAGAATAAGAACAGCACCTGTGTGGGATGCCAGCATTGCAGGCAGTGGCTACCGTGCAGGTCCTGGTTTTTCTTCTGTGCAGCAATCCATCTCGTTTTACAGCTGGCTAAATCCACTAATCTCAGACCTGTTAAAAAAATCATTTAAAATATTTGTTGGACATTTAATTATCATTTTTAACAACTATCTTTCCTGATTCTTCTTTGAATATTATGGAAAAACATTTTATAAAATTCACCTTGTATTTGAAGGAAGTATCTTCTAATATTATCCATTTATATATGTTAAATTTTTTTTTCATAGCAAACATTACACTTTAAAAAAAAAAAGGTTTATTATTTAAAAGGCAGAGCTACAAAGAGATAAAGAGATCTTTTATCTGCTAGTCCATTCCCCAAGTGGCCTCAATAGCCTGATCTGGGCCAGTTCAAAATCAGAGCTAGGAGCTTATTCCAAGTCTCCCATCTGGGTGTAGGGGCCCAAGCACTTAGGCCGTCCCCCACTCCTTTCACAGGCTCAGTGGCATGGAGCTGGTTCAGAAGTGGAGCAGCCATCCTGGAAAGCCAGCACTGCAAGTGGCGACTTTAGCTATTCTCCACAAACCTCTGCAGTTTGCTTTTATGTGAAATTTGTTAGCTTCTTCTATTGCAGTCTCTTGTCCTCTTTCTCTATGAAACATTCAAATAAGCCTGTTACAGCAGAAGTGCTTAGAAAACAATAATTAGAACTGAGTCGATTAATTAACAGCAAGAATAGGAACAGGTTGTAACACTGCAAACAGCACATGCCTCCGCATGTGCATGTCACACATCACAGCTGCTGGAATGGAATGTGATCTATCCGAACTAACGCTGTGCTTAATGGAAAATAACTGCACTGCGTCTGATTCACATTTAGATTTAAATTACTTAAAGTGAAATTTAAAAACTCAATTACTTGTGGGCACTAACCTCAGTGCAACTCTGTAATGTTTTTCAAAATTCAGGTCAGAGCTTACTACTGTAGGGAATAACCACTATTGTTTTTAACAAAGAAGAAAAGAATAGAAAATGTGACCATATCACATACAGTAAGGATACATAGTGCTGTTGAGACTTTTGTTTCCTTATGTACTATGTGCACATAAATGGGTAGGTCACAAAGTAAAAAGAATGATGTTTCTTTCTCTCTTTTTTTAAGATTTATTTATTTTTATTACAAAGTCAGATATACAGAGAGGAGGAGAGACAGAGAGGAAGATCTTCCGTCCGATGATTCACTTCCCAAGTGAGCGCAACAGCCAGTGCTGCACCAATCCGAAGCCGGGTACCAACTTCTTTCCAGGTCTCTCCCACAGGTGCAGGATCCCAAAGCATTGGGCCGACCTCAACTGCTTCCCCAGGCCACAAGTAGGGAACTGGATGGGAAATGGAGCTGCCGGGATTAGAACCAGCGCCCATATGGGATCCCGGGCGTTCAAGGCGAGGACTTGAGCCACTAGACCATGCCGCCAGGCCCAGAAAGATCTTTCTTAACCTGGAGTAAAAGTTTTTAGTATATGTGCTGCCGAAGTGAGCACAGGAGTAAAAGTTTTTGAAAACTGCCTTTGTACAGCACTTGACACAATTTAACTAAAATGTTAGTAACATGTAATTATCATCAGTCACACACATCTCTAAGATGACAGTTTAAAAATGACAGGGTTGTTTTTTAATGTTGTATAAGTTTTCTCCCTGTAAAGCTAGTTAATCAGAAGTCAGATAAAATGAATAGCACAGGAAACACCAACAGAGGTCCTCTTAAGGCCAGCTAATCATTGTGGACTATTCTGTGGGAAATGAGGGGTCACTGGCTATTTTAAGGTGAGGATCTGTGTACAAGATTGTTCTGAGAAGGCAACACAGTAGCTCTAGATGGTCACTCTGAGCAGGAAATAATCCTGCATGTACACCGGATTAGCCAGGAGGCAGGACCTCCACTCAGTGTCTAAACCAGCCGCTCTTCCATGTAAGAAGCCCTTTCACCCATGCCAGCATGCCTTTGTCTGTTCCCATAGTTATCTGTCTGCTTTGCAACATGCCTGCTCCTAGCCTTGGGCTTCCCAGTTGAGTTCCTAGGGACCTGCAATGCCCATTCCCCTAGTTTGCCCTGATAATTTCCCCTGGTCTTTAAAGAACTCTAGAAATCAATAATCAGAGTAATTACCTCCCTATATTTTAATTCCACTATCTTGGTTAGAAAAACAAGCAAACAATTGTAGACTCCAGTGTTTCCACCACCATTTTCTATTTACTGACTGTGATTCTTTTCTTCTAATTTGGTCTTGAGCAGTGTCTAATGCAAACTTTTCTCTGTGTACATATGGATTTAGTGTTTGATGAGGCGGTGGTGGTTCTTTTTGCCTTTTATGTATCAGAATTAGAGTTCAGGTGAATCTGTTTCTGACTGCAGCACACACGAGAACATTTAGTTTCTCCTTGCTCCTCCTGTTCACGTGTGCTGACCCAGGGCGTCTGTCCAAGGTGCCCCTGATGTATACCCGTGTCTCTTTGCTGTGGTGATGGTAGTGTAATTTGTGTGCATCTGTGTTTAGCTTATCTCAATGGTGGCATATAATATATCTCATTCTGCTTGACTTTTTTCACTAAACACTACCTGGGTTGTTATTTTTTTTAACTCTTCATTTTAAAATGCTACAATAGTAATCAAATATAGAATCATATAACTCTCTCTCCCCCAAATCCCATAACCCAATATCAACAATTATCACTTTGTAGCTACTCTTGTTTGATCTCTGCTATGTGTACTTTCCCCTTCCTTGTATCATGAAGCTAATCTCAAATTTCAAGTCATTTTGTCCAGAAACATTTCAGTATGTGCAATTTAAAAAATATAGGGGTTCTTTTTTAACATCAGTATACTATCATTTTCCTACCTTTTAAATAATAGTTTGCTAACACCAAATCATTTCCTGTTGTCTCAAAAATTAGTTTTTTATAGTTTGAATCAGAACCAAGAGTCAGAACCCAAAAGAGATCCATGCTCAATAATTGCCCCATAGCTTGTATCCTTTGGTTTCACTTCTTTCTTTCTTCCTCCTTCTCTCGTTTCTTAAGGAGCTCTTTTACCCTGAAGGTCTGGATTTTGTTCTTTGCCCCTTCGTATGGTTTGGCATGTTTCTCTGTCTTTTTGTGTATGATCTAGGCTTTGTTCTGATCTAGGTTTTGTGTGTTTTATAACATTTCTTCCTCAGTGATGTGACCTTCTGCTCTCAGGAGACATATGACATCTGAGCAGCTCTCATTTTGCAATCTTAGCACACTGGTTTCGAAATGTATACTGCCACATGTTCACTTGCTTGGCTCTTCATACTCTGCGGTATTCATCCACCACCTTTTAAATAGTCGCTCTTTTTTTGTACCCAGTTTGCTTTCTTTATTGTTGCCATGAGCATCACTGCAGGGACACCCTGATATGCATTGCCACAGACCTAATTGGGAAAATGGACAGGATTGCTAGCATAGAAGGTATTCTGTACTTAGACTGCCAGGTACTGCCAGATCACTCTCAAAACACCCACCAAACTAGTTGTATTCTTTTTGTTCCTGTCATTCTAATAAACTATACATCTTTTACATAGTTTACATTTTGTGATTTTCAGATTCTTACATGATTACTAGCCTTTTAGTTCCATCTACTGTAAATTCCTGCTCATAGCTTCTGCCCGTTTCTAAATGGTAATTTCTATCTTAACGATTTACGTATTTTGAAATTTTGAAATTTCAGATCTCTACTCTCAGTTCCTTCATGTGCCAGTTGATTTTGCCAGTGGGTTCCTCAGTTGGTGCCCTTGTCATGCTTTCATGCTTAGGATTTCACTCTCTGCAGAATCCACTAGTTTTCTCTTATATGAACCATCGCCTTTGAACAGTCCGTAGCTAGCTAACTAGTAGCCACCTTCGCTGCAGATCACGTCTCTGAGTCTTGGCTCCCGTTTCTTCTCCATTTTTGTTTTGTTTTTAGAACAGAAGCCACATTTATTTTTTTACTCAAGCCACACAGCCTGTACTAGTTTCTGATGGAATAAGGATCTCTTCCTTCATTTTGTTTTAAAGATAACTTTCTAAGGGCATTTATTCGTCCATAAAATTTTAGAACAGCTAATAGCTCCAGCGGACACTTGGGAAGTGAATCAGCAGATGGAAGATCTTTCTCTGTCTCTCCTCCTCTCTGCATATCTGCCTTTCCAATAAAATAAATAAATCTTTTTTTTAAAAAAAAAGAAAAGTACAAATTTACAGTGCCACGAAATTAAATAACATGTTACTGAATAACTAATATGTCACTGAAGAAATGAACCTTCTTGAAGAAAATGATGTTACTGTATGACCTATGAGTCAATGAAGAATTTAATATGAGAAAAAAAGCTGTTTTGAAGAAATGAAAATAAAAACAAAAACCTCAAGCAGCTGACCTCTCACAGGGAACTCTGCAGGCCCGAGGAGAATGGAGCGACGTATTCCAGGTTCTAAAGGAAAAAACTGTCAGCACAAAATAACATACCCAGCAAAGCTTCCTTTGTCTTTTTTTTTTTTTTTAATTTGCTATCTCAGTGTGCCCCAACATTGCTGGTACAGACAATGTCATACAGTCCATCATCCCATTGTGTAAATATATCCAGCACTTTCATTGGTAGTCCATCTTTTGTTTGGAAGCAGAGATGCATGTTGCATTGTGTCTTCACATCTGGATATGGTAGTCTCCATTACTCCACCACTATACATTCCAATTTGGATGATGGATTCCTTATATTAGAGAGAACATATGGTATTTCTCTTTTTGTGATTATTTCACTGAGCATAATGGTCTCTAGTTGGGACCATCTGGTTGCAAATTGTATAATTTCATTCTTTTCAATGACTGAATAATATTCCATGGAATAGATGTACCACAGTTTCTTTAGCCACTCTACTTTGGATGGGCATCTGGTTTGTTTCCATTTCTTTGCTATTGTAGATTGTGCTGCTGTAAATATAGGATTACAGATCCCCTTCTCATATGTAGTTTTAATTTCTTTTGGGTATATTCCTAGGAGTGGGATAGCTGGGTCAGCTTCCTTTGTCTTTGAAAATGAAATAAAATTAATCCACAGTAAGGAAAAGCTTAAAGAATATGTCTCTTTCAGACCTGGGCTACAAATAATACTTAAAGCAAGAGGAATGGACAAAGAAACAGTGGTATATCTACTCCATGGAAAAGAATGAAATTATACCATTTGCAACCAGATGGTCCCAACTAGAGACCATTATGCTCAGTGAAATAAGTCAATCCCAAAAGGACAAATATCTTTTCTCTCTGATATAAGGCAACCTTCGTGCAAATTATAAGATCAATAATCTTTTCAATCTGTTTTGCTGCAAAGTGTGGGTTTTGATACTTTTGTTTTTGATTTAATTTCTTCTAAATAGTTTCTTTTCTCTTATTAAACTCTTCACTGATTCATAGATCATACAGTAGCATCATTTTCTCCAAGAAGGTTTTTGTTTTCTTATAAGAATGGAAAAGTTAAAGAAGCTTGAATTTATTATTTTTTAAGTTCTATTTTTTATTTGAAAGGCAAAGAGAAACAGAGGAAGATCTTCCATGTGTTTTGCTGGGTCACTTCCCAAATGCTCACAACAGAAGTGAGCAACTCCAGCCAGGTCTCCCACGTGAGTGGCAGGAACACAAGCAGTTGAGCCATCATCTGCTGCTCTGCAGCGTGCTCATTGGCAGAAAGCTGGGTGGGAAATGGAGGTGGGACTCCCATCCAGGTAGTTTGATGTGGGATACAGGCATTCCAAGCAGCTGCTAAATCTACCGCCATGCACCTGCCTGTTCCCAGAGGTTGAATTTATTAACAATTTCAGTTGCCAAATGATTTACATTTTTCATGAGTAAAACTCAAATTCTAGATTTTAAAAATGTTTTCTCTCTTACAGCAATTTGAGATTTTTGATGATTGCCTTAGCTTATGCGATACCATTTGGAGTATTTGCTGGCTGGTCTGGAGTTCTGGACTTAATTCTAACACCAGTGCATGTCAGCCAAGTAAGTATTATACTTTATAGGTTGTAGTATTTTAGTTCATTTACAAATAGTGCTTACATGTGCTTGTTCAGGTACTATTTAAAGCTTTGCCCATACCACCGTTGCAAATGGCAGGGTCCTCATGGAATAATCAAAACCGATGTTGATTTCTGCAACAGTCATAAATTTCACTTTTAATTGTGTGTCACTAATAATGCTGAGAAAAGAGCAGGGATGGGGGAAAATGTTAGTTTTGCTGACTATCCTTTATCCTTGCCTCATGCTTTATAAAGAAGATTAAAAGCCTCTTTTCCAATAGCTAATTATCCCTGCATTTTAGTTTGTTACTTTCTGGTCTTAGAATAAGAACATCTTGTTTATTTAATAATAACCATTTCACCATACTAGAAGCCATCCACTTCTTGTCTCTGCTCCCAAGCTACATGGTAGGAAATCATGGAGAGAAGATTAGGGAGCAAATAGGGAGAGGCTACCACACTGGGTGATATGGCACTCCATTGTATAACAACCAGCAGTGGATCCTGTTTCCTTTGGATGGGGCTGAGCCTCTTTCTTGAGGAATCCTCCAATCTCTTGCTTCAAGGATACATTCCAGGTTACTTGGAAGAGAACTGTATGTCTCCGTCACACTTGCTCTTTCTGCTGTCTGCCATCTGGTTGTGGTCACACTGCTGCATCCATGCCAACAGTGACAAGAGCACCAAGTGGAAGCAGGTTTGGTTTCTCAGTCAGCACACAGCAAAGAGTTGTCTTGTAGGACTGCCTCTCTCATTGCAGAGCATCTCAGCACACTGTCCCAGCCCTACTGAGTGCTATTGACCTCCTCCATTCCCCCATCTGTCATCCATGTGTGAGTGGGGCCCTGTGCCAACCTGTGGAATACAGTCTTCCACCTTTTGACCTAGAGGCAGCACATCTCACTTCTGCTGGCTCCAGGGATTAGTCACACGTAGTTACATGCACCAGACAGGAACAGGCACATGTAATCTGACTAATTGCTCAGGTGGAAGAAGATAGCTGGCAATCCCTATCACAAAAGTAATGAAAAATGTGACTCAAAAAGTGAACAAAAACACAAGTCCAAGTGCCAGGTCAGGTTTGTACTTTGCCCTGTAGCTTTACAGAGAGCCCGTAACTGTTTCTAAGCAGGAAAGTGGAATGCTTGGGATAACTATCCTGGCAATACGGGGAAAAGTCTGTGGAGACTATTAAGGAACTATTTCAGGAATCCTGATGAACTAAGTAAAGTGAGCAACAAGAGTGGTGGGTCACCAAAAAGGGAAAGAGGAGACAATATGTAACAATACTGTTAGGGAGATAGAATTTCAACATTAACAGTATTGAATACTTTACATTTATTAACTTACTTTAGCTCTGAGAAAAACATAATTATCCCCATTCCACCAACATGTAAATGGCCTAGAGTAAGAGTAATTTGAAACAGAAGCAAGTCCTCATGAGGGTTCAAGAACATGAATGTGGACCAGGTGTTATGGCACAGAGGGTTAAGCCAGCACCTGAGATGCCTACATACCATATCAGAGTACCCAGTTGAAGTCCTGGCTGCTCTGCTTTCAATCCAACTTCCTGATAATGAGCCTGGGAAAGCAGCAGATGATTGTTCAAGTCTTGGGTTCCTGCCACCCATTTGGGAGGCCCAGATGCAGTTCTGGGTTCCTGACCTTGGGCTGGTGCAGCCCTGGTTATTAGCAAGCATTTGGAGAGTGAACCTGTCTGTCCCTACCTCTCCATTCTCCCCCTCTCTGCATCTTTCTGCCTTTCAGATGAATGATGAACAAATGTAGACAGCATTTGTGCGATGTCCTAAAAAGTGTGTCCAGAGAAGCAGGAAAGGGGTAAGCTAGATAAAGACATGTCTCCAGCCAGTGGTTGACATGAGCTGAGCACATCTTGTATGCCAGCCTCTAGTCTAAGCCCTGCCTGCCATCATTGGATCACTCTGTCAAGAAAGGAACAAGCTACATGCCGAAAACCAGACTTCCCTTCACGTTCTATCCTGTCTCGCTCAGCCTCATCTGTCTTTCTCTGTGCCTCTCCCTCTCTCCCTCTTCCTCATGCCTTAATACTTTGGAAGTTTTTGCCAGTTGTTTTAGCACCTGATTGTTTCCTAGTAGTTTCGTGTGGTTTGTGTTTAAACTTCAGGGGGTCATGATCCGCTGCTGTGCTTTTCCCATCTTCTTCAGTTTCCCTAGTACAATATTAATATGCCGTTTCTGCTTGAAAAGGGCTTGTTCAATGACATACATGATTTTCCTAACTTAGCTATCTTTTTAAAAAATAACCAAGGTTATTATTTATATTTACTCAGGTAAATTTACACACTGCATGCTTTTATTTTTAACCACTTTCTTCTTGAATAATGTTTCCTAGATTTGTTGCCATTCATTATTAGCATGAATTATAGAGGATTTTCTTTCATTCCTTCTAAATTGCAACATGATCATCTTGAATTAAATGTACCTGCTATTTTTTTTTAAACAGGTAGATGCTGGCTGGATTGGATTTTGGTCCATAGTTGGAGGCTGTGTTGTTGGAATAGCTATGGCAAGGTGAGAATTATTTTATTTTAAACATGTGAATAGATAGTAGAGGAGGAAAAAAAGCAAAAATGAGAAACAGGCTCCCCCAAATCAAACAGTAAAACTCAGGGGGAAGTAGAAAAGGCAAAGGCCAGAAAAGGGTCCTTGTCCAGGTTGCAGGAAGGTCCGCAGGGGACAGTCAGAGCCTGTTGCCACAGGAAGCCTCCTTCCTAAAGTGTTCTTGCAGTGTGCTCCCGGTGTGATGATGCTTCCTTTCCCCAGATTATGAGAGAACATCTGCAGACGGAATCAAAGAAAAGTGATAAAATAGTAAAGGCAAACTGGTAAGTTATCGAGAACAGAAAAGAATGGAATGATTTTTAAAAGCATCTCTATCTCCTGATTGGCAGATATGTATTCCTGGTCTTTTTGCCAGGTATATTCCTATGGTTACCTCATCTCATGAAAAGAATCTATAAAAAACCTCCAGTTTTATCCAACTCCCTTTGATTGAAACTCATTATGACAATACATTTTTAGAATGAATTAAAAAAGAAAAAAAGCCTCATTTATTCTAAAAAAAAAAAAAAGTGAAAATGTCATTCTTCTACGTGACTGCCTATAAAATTACTCCTAATGTTTCCAAAGAGATAATATTCATTCACATCCCAAGTCATTTTGCCCTGTTTAATCAAAAATAAAATTAGGCAATCAACTTTACCAGCAAGAAGAGAATCTAATTACATATTTGGGGAGATCAAATAAGATATGTAAATCACTCAGTATTTAAATACTTAAACATAATTGACGTTGACACTGAATATTATATCTAGACTGTACAGTTGGCATAGAGTTTCTGAGACAATAAAAGAATAAATTGACACCATTATTTCTAAATCTCTTTATGTCAGGTTCTTTTTATAAGTTAGAAAAACAGAAGCTAAGCCTAAAAAAGCAGGATAAGGAAAATGCTGTTTGTAGGAAATCAGTTCACTGGTTCTCAACTACATTGACCTGTCACATTCTGACAAGAAAAATACCTAATTCTTCTAATTAAAGCTCCAAGCCAATTACATGAGTCATCATTGATCGTATCCTATTCTGAGCACCAAATAGGTCAAAGAGAGGGCCATTATATATGAGAAATGGCATTGCACATGCTCCTTTCTCTTTTTCTCTCTACACTAACTAAATATAGATACAACTAGAGGGGAAAATTACATCGAGGGCACTTCTGCTTTTAATTTGTTGAAATGGAAGTTCTACAAATTACTGCCCTTATTCTGGGATCTGAAATCAATTTTAGATATTTCTTTCCTAGGCCTAAAATCAATTTTGAAATTATTCTTATACCTCTGTTTTTAGGATTTTTAGGACAAAATCTCCCTCTGTAGACATGAATGCGTGGGGTGATTTCTCTTCTTTTTTTGAGGATATGTTGCTAAAGACCACTCATCAAGGTACTACTTTGCTCCTAACAGTATTGTTGCATGGTGTCAGGCCATTTGAAAGCACTGAGTTTCCAAGCATATAGGACACCTGTGGTCAGTTTATTCCCATGTAAAACCCAGAGTTCAACTCTGATTTATATCAAAAAGCTGTTTCAGTCTCTTAGTCTTCTACCTATTTGATGACCATATTTATGCAATATTTCAAAGGGTAAATCAGCAAAGTATTGTCTTTTTTTTTTTAAATTTTCCTGAGGGATATTTGTATCAAGCCATTTTTTTAGAGCACATAGAATTCTCTGCTGTGATCTTATAAACATGACAGCGGTCACTGGATCAAAGTGCATCTGTCTTTCCTACCACAGGAAGTCATTTTAGTCTAGGAAATCTTAGGAAACTTGATAAACCATGTCATGTTAAACAGATATAAAGCAAAGGAGAGTATTAGAAGGACAGCCACATAATGACAGCAAAAGTTAAAATTGTTTTTTAAAAATTGAGTAAAGATGACATGGTAAGTGTTTTATTTGTGGTAAGATTGATTTTTCTGTAATAATTCTGAAGAAACAGTAAATATATAAAAGCACAAGAGGGTTGGTCAAGTTAGCTGCAGGTGAGGAAAAGCAGTGGCAAATTGGCAGAACTATCAGACAAACCATCTCACGTAGATACCCTTTAGTTTCCTAAAAGCCAGCAATTTTGCGCATTGAAAATGCCATACATGCTCTGTAGACTAGTATTCACTTCTCCAGATGCTGTGTTTTTGCTCTCAGTCTGATAGAAAAGACAAAGGTAACACCAAAAAAACTGCCAGTAGATGAGCAGTGGTGTGAAGACACAAAACAGAGTGTGAGAGGTACTGGGGGCGAGCAGGCCTTGCTGAGCCGGCAGCTGATGAGCCGAGGAACAAACATGAGTCCAGTAGGGCTGGGAGTGCCACTGTCCAGGCAGCCAGGATGAGTTCCAAGGCTGTGTGTGCATGGCTGTGGAAGCCAGCACACATGAGAAGCCAGCACACTGTCCCGCTGGACTAGAATCAGCCAAGGAAGAGCAGAAACAGGCACCTGTGCACGTGTGCAGAGCCTCGCCAAGCCTGTGGGAAACAAGGAAAAGCACGTGTGTCTTGCTGCACAGAATTTTGAAATCCATGCCTATCTAAGGTTCTCAGAAGGTTTATGGAAACACCTATTATAAAAAGCTGCATTAATGTCAAAGGCCGGGTTTTTTTTTAGCACCAAAATAAATGTATCTTTTCATTCCACTTTCCTTGATTTTTTGGAAGTTCTCCCTGTAGAAGACTTCAGAGCCCCTGTTATAGGCAATTGTATACGTTTTCTGAGTCTGGTTTTTTGGGAAAGCCATCTTTGTGAGTTTATCTCAATAAAGTAGCCTGTTTTCTAAGGTGTGATGATATGTGTCATTATTGAATATTCAAAAAGCATAGGAAAATAAAAGTGGTTCTTAAAAACTCAGATCCATCCTGTGAGTTACAGAGCCTCAACAGTGATGGCATTTTGTGGGTTTTGTAAGGGAAAAGAGAAAATTACTGCACACACAACAAAACACCAGCTTAAAAACAAAAAGTACCCTTCATAAAAGTATGTTACTCATTTAAATAACATTTGGAACCTCTGCCCAGAATGTGTAGAATATTGTTTCTTTTCAGGTTTGCAGACTTTATCCGTGGCATGCTGAAGCTGATTCTTCTCCTCCTGTTTTCTGGGGCTACACTGTCTTCCACGTGGTTCACTCTGACGTGTCTGAACAGCATCACACACCTGCCTTTAACCACAGGTAAGTACAGGCTATTTTAAACTTGGAATGTTTTCAGCTCAAGGAAGAACACACACCATGATTTCCTGGTGCACACACTAGTAACTAATAATTAGATTGACTGAAGATTGCCCTTGTCCCACCACCAGACCATCCTCCTATCTAAAAGAAGTCCAAAAAATTACTATAAACATTTTGATTGAGAGGCTTTTTTAAAAATAAGGATACAAAACATACACTTTAGCCTAAAGTTTACAGCATGAAAAAGCTTATGTTCTTTTAGGAAGATATTTAAAAGTTTGTGGGAAACACATATGATCAAAAAACTATGTGTAGATTTTTTTTTTAATTGCACCAAAATAAGTTTATCTTTTATTTCTACTTCTCTATGAATTTTTAAAATACCCTGTTATTATAATTCAAAAATTTTTGTTCTTTATCATTATTACATCATTATTAAGCAGTGAGGGAAATTGACAGCCAGCAACCAACCCATGGTGTTTAAAGTACACTTGAATAAAATTTCTGAATTAAGCACCTGTATCTTTATTTAAAAATAAAACTTAGCAAAAAACTTGTGGAAAGTATATGGTATCCAACTTACTTAACTCATGTACTTTGATCTGGAATATTTGTACGTGTTGTGGTTTTCATTGTTAATATCAACCCAAGGTCTGTGTTAGCTCTTACTGCTGCTGTAATCAATTCCACAAATGTAGTGGGTTCAATTAGCACAAAGTTACTGTATTTCTGTAAGTTAGAAGGAGATATGATATGGATCTCAATGGGCTAGAATAAAAGTGGCCAGACTCTGGGGCAGAATCTGTTCACTTGCCTTTTCAGCTTGCAAAGGGCCACAGTCCTTGGCTTAGAGCCCTCATGCACCACCCTCAAAGCCAGCGATGGTGGCTCTTCCCCTATGGCGTCAGCAGCATTCTCCCATTGGTACAGCTCCCTGTGGCCTCTCCTGTTCTGCCTTCCCCATTCCACCTTCCTCTTTAACTTTGAAGGGCCCTGTGGTTACTTTGGTTTCTCCCACACACACTGTCATCATCTGTTGGTTTTAAGGTCAGTTGAGTAGCTACTTTGTAATTCTACCTTAGTGCTAATCCCTTTCACTAAGATCCCTTTCAGGATATAAATAGCTTTGAGGAAGAGAGGGCCATCACTCTGTATGCCAAGGGATCTTAGTGAAGTTACCATTACAGACTATTCTGCAAATCAGGGGGACTCTATTATTGTGTCTTTTTTTTTTCTCTTAGTAAAAGATAAAGTTAGCTATTTTCAATTTCATTTGCAAGCAGCATTCAGTCACCTTTAGATTATGTGTTGAAGTATAGAATTGTATGCTGTAGAGGCAGATTGTAGGATTAATATAATAGGAATTTGCGTGAACAGAACTAAGACTATTAGAGTAACTCCACAAGGCCTGTGCATTCCACGGGAGCCCATGAGGTGGGTACCTGTTGTCTTGGCATAATTATGTACTACGTGGCACACCAGTTTGACTCTATACTCTGAATGTAAAAACCAACAGTTAACATATCCAAGGCATCAGCTCTTCTGGGACAGCCTTTTATTTGGGAATTCTTCCACTGCTGCAGTGATAAAGAGGGAAGTGAGATGAGGCTACCCTGCCCCACTGTCACTGTCTATGAGCCAGCTATCCTGGGTTGCAGCAACAGGTGTCGGAGGGACACTGAGCATTGCCCCACACTGCTGCTGCAGCTTCCAGGTTAGAGAAGTTCTCAGCATTAGCATGAGGTTGTGCTGCCTTTTCTTTGACAATGTCTTGGGCTTGCAAAGTTCATTTTTCAGCAGTTGCTGTGATTAAAAAGTAAATACTCCACACAAAAGAATGTGGAGACAGGAAGAGATGGTGGTGATATTCACTTGATTCCTACATATGAAAAAGCTGTGCAGGGTACACAGCCTACTAGAAAGTAGATTTTGTCTGAGAATGACATAAAAATATATTCTGTGGGACCTGCATTGGTGCAGTAGCTTAAGCCACTGCCTGCAATGCCACCATCCCATGTGAGTGTCATCCACCCTGCATCCTGCTGTTCCACTTCTGTCCAATCCAACTCCCTGCTAATACACCTGGGAAAGCAGCTAGGAATGCCTCCAAGGAATGTCCTTGACCCACATGGGAGACCCTATTGGAGCTCCTGGCTCTTGACTTCAGGCCTGTGCTAGTCCTACTCATTGTGGATTTGAGGGGAGTGACCCAGCAAATGCAAGATCTGTGTGTGTGTGTGTGTGTGTGTGTGTGTGTGTGTGTGTGTGTATCCCCTCACTCTGCCTTTTGAATAAGTGCATCTTTAAAAATTATACTTGTGTGTGTTTCTTTCATTGCATCAACATTCCTTTTTAAATGTCTATCAAATTGATAGGATGTATATACATGTTATTGAACACTGACTATGTAATTAACAGAATTGTCATTTACTTTAGCCTTGGGCACCATGAGGACATTGCAGAGACACTAAGGGTACTAAGAACAAAGCAGCCTTAGAAGCCTCTGTCCCATCCATCCCTCGCGGCCCCCGGCCCTCTCTTCAGGACACACTGCTCTGCTGCCCTGCTGTCCAGACCAATCATCGGACCCAGAGGAAGGCAGAGTGCACTGTTTGTATGCTAGCAGTCATACCCTGGGGTTTGAACCATTTTGGCAAGTTTTCTAGGTCAGAATTTTTTTTCTGGTATAACTTCATAATTCTAGCAGTTTGTGCAACATTTGGGTAGAACAGTCTTAGTTTACAGCTCTTCTTATTCATGGCATTACACTCATTTTTTGTGTGTGATATTGTTTGTCAAGTACACATCTGTGAGATTTTTTTAAGAACATGGTCCTGGGTACATAACAAACAGATTGATTTTCCTAGAGTTTCGTGTAGAATACTCCTTATGAGATAGTATGCTAAGTTTTGTGTATTTTCCATTTAACATGAGCAAATTAAGTTTTAGAAGTACTAGGAATGAGTCATCACTTCCCTCCTTGTGTGGATTTTTATAATGAGCATGCTTTAGTTCTATAGTCAGGGAAACTATATTTGAAAATTATGCATATTTTAAAATTTTATATGTCTTAAGAGACAGAGATAGCCATTACTTTTACCCATTGATTCATTCCCCCCAAATAGCAGTAATAGCCAGGGCTCTGCAGGCCTGCTTCCACACCAGGCACTCAGTCCATCTCTCACATGATGCTGGGCAGTACAGCAAAGTCTGTGAGACATGGCCCACTGCGGAAAGATGGGATCAGGAGCAGAGCTCCTTGGATGGGACATTCAGGTATCCCAAGCCGTGGCTTAGTGCTTACACCAAATGCCCACCCTCTGTGTATCTTTTTAAATCTTTAGGGAAAAATGATACAGCTGGCCCTGCTTAAGACAGTTTTCCCAACCTGTTGTTGAAAATAATTGCACTGGACAAAAAAGAATTCTGAATTAAATTAAGGCCAGAACTGAAAGGTTGGGCTTGATGTGGCCATCTGAGCAATGACAGATTGTGTGACTTCTCTTGTTTTCAATTGCAAGTTAGTTTTGAAAGTCACTTAAATACTCCAAAAAATGTGCTCTTAATGTATAATGCACACTGGGCTAGGAACTGGATTTGTTCATCTTCCTTCTCTGAGTTACAACCTTTTTTCCTTTCCTGCTATCACTCAACAGTTACTCAAACCTATGTCTTTTCTCCCTCCCCAATCCCTCATGCAGACCCCCAAGGAGTAGAGTTATGTGTTAACCCCCAGATGTGACTTCCAGTCAGTAATAGTCCGCAACTAGGGTCACTCTTCATCTTTCGGCACTAGCTGTAAGAAGGTAAAAGGGCACCTTTTAATGGAACAATGGAGAATTGGGATAAATCTATCACAGCTTACTCCTATTACCTTTGTAAAAGTCTGACCTAATTCCTTGTAAGTGAAAGAGGTTTCATGAAAGGGAGCTGACTACAGAACTCATTTATAGGCAAACTGAGACCTTTAAGCTGGTATTTAAAGGCAGCAATGCAAGGTCATGTTTCTTTCTTACCACTCATTTACTTCAAGCTAGTATCACTCTTTTTCCTGGCATATGTAATATTCCCATTATGGCTTTTTTTTTAATACACCAGAAGGCTGTACATGAGAGATACCTGAAGCATCTGTATTCATGATAACTTAATGATATAATATCATGGCATAATAAATTAAAATAGAGTTGATTTTCTTCAACTCACGAATCTGTCAGTGTCTAAGAGTTAAATGCTGTTCCGTTGCACTCATTCTGTGGTCCGCTGATCTTGAGCTTATCATTACTGTTGATACAAAAGAACAACAGAGCCCTTCCGTTGCAGAGGAGCACATTTGAAATCCATGTGCTGGCTCACATCTACCCTCTTGGGGACCAGCAGCAGTGTGGCTTGAGGTCCTTAAGAGCGCTGTGTTTAAAGCTGTATTGTGTCTTCAGTGACGGAAGTCTTTACAGTGGACTACATAAATAACCTCATGATGAGATGACGTTGAGTTTCAAAGTCTTAAAGCTTATATTACTATGATCAAAATTCTGAAAAGACGTTATTCACCTTCTCTGAGAACTAGATGTTTGGCTTTCAGCTAATCACAACCTGCCCAGTCATTTTTCACTGAGCAGATGCAGACTTTGAAAATGGCATTTTGACAAACGTTGGCACTTTGGCGTTGAGTTTAGTGAGACAATATAATTTGACTGTTTTGCAGAAGTGGTCTTGGGAATGGTCATTTATCTAACTTTGCCTAAGGTTACTAGAACGATGATGTCAGAAAGAAAGAAATGCTGAGTGTGAGGGAAAGGTCAGCTGACCACAGGGTACCTTCAAAGGGCATTCAGGGAAAGAGAACACACTCAGTTGTGTTGGCAGGCCTGTGATGGGTAGAAAGTGGACAGTAGCACTCTCGTAATAATTTCATGCATGATATCTTTGTTAAGATAATTGTGTCCTGTTTTTACAGCATATAAAGCAATAAAAGCATAGACTTGCCTATAAAATATAAAATT